CCTCACCTCACCTCACCTCACCTCACCTCACCTCATCTCATCTCATCTCATCTCATCTGATCTTCCCCCATGTCCTTCCGAAACCTTTTCACTTCCCTCCCTGGCCAATCCCGTGTAGACAGCTGGCATTGCATGAAACCCAACACATCATAGGCTGGATACAATGTGTCACATGCACCAACACTGTTGCCACATGTGCATCTGTTATTGTAAGTTCTCATTCCCTAGGGACTGTGAATGTACCAGCCAAACGAGCCTGTTGCATCATTCCTACCAGCCTGTTGCATCACTCCTGCCAGCCTACTGCGACGATTGTTTGACTCTTCCATTTGACAATGCTACCCCTGTCAACACCTCATGTTTGCCCTCTTCTCCCATCCTTCTCTGCCAACGCTTCCCATTGTCCCTTCATCCCTCCCTTATACCCTCTTTCCATCAGGTATGCTCAGCAATGAATGCATTGTCGTTTTTAGCATGCACCATTGCCTTTTATTTTTATTTTTGTTCTCAAGAGCAACCTACCAATGAGTACACCATCCTTGCCATTTTCAGCAACATGCACCATCTTTGCCTCCCTCACAATCTTGTGGGTCCTTCTTATGCTCTTGTGTGTATGCAAAACAGGCAATCTTTTGTTTTCTCACTTTGCCCTTCTTCCACTTCCGATGGTTCTCCCTCTTGGCCTATGTTCCTCCTGCCCCCTCTTGCTCCCTCCAACCCCCTCTAACCCTCTTCCCCACAACGATTGGTTGCATATTCAAGATCACCTTTGGCTACAATAAAAGAGCGTTTTCAAGGAGTTGGGTATGATCACATTGCCTCATGATCACATTGCCTCATGATCACATTGCCGCATGATCACATTGCCTCATCATCACATTGCCTCATGGTCACATTGTCTCATGGTCACATTGTCTCATGGTCACATTGCCTCATGATCACATTGCCTCATGATCACATTGCCTCATGATCACATTGCCTCATGATCACATTGCCTCATGATCACATTGCCTCATGATCACATGGCCTCATGGTCACATTGCCTCATGATCACATTGCCTCATGATCACATGGCCTCATGATCACATCGCCTCATGATCACATCGCCTCATGATCACATTGCCTCATGATCACATCGCCTCATGATCACATCGCCTCATGATCACATCGCCTCATGATCACATCGCCTCATGATCACATCGCCTCATGATCACATCGCCTCATGATCACATTACCTCATGATCACATTGCCTCATGATCACATTGCCTCATGATCACATTGCCTCATGATCACATTGCCTCATGATCACATTGCCTCATGATCACATTGCCTCATGATCACATTGCCTCATGATCACATTGCCTCATGATCACATTGCCTCATGATCACATTGCCGCATGATCACATTGCCGCATGATCACATTGCCTCATGATCGCATTGCCTCATGATCACATCGCCTCATGATCACATCGCCTCATGATCACATCGCCTCATGATCACATCGCCTCATGATCATATCGCCTCATGATCACATCGCCTCATGATCACATCGCCTCATGATCACATCGCCTCACGATCACATCGCCTCACGATCACATCGCCTCACGATCACATCGCCTCACGATCACATCGCCTCACGATCACATCGCCTCATGATCACATCGCCTCATGATCACATCGCCTCATGATCACATCGCCTCATGGTCACATCGCCTCATGATCACATCGCCTCATGATCACATCGCCTCATGATCACATCGCCTCATGATCACATCGCCTCATGATCACATCGCCTCATGATCACATTGCCTCATGATCACATTGCCTCATGATCACATTGCCTCATGATCACATTGCCCCATGATCACATTGCCTCATGATCACATTGCCTCATGATCACATTGCCGCATGATCACATTGCCGCATGATCACATTGCCTCATGATCACATTGCCTCATGATCACATTGCCTCATGATCACATTGCCTCATGATCACATTGCCTCATGATCACATTGCCTCATAATCACATTGCCTCATGATCACATTGCCTCATGATCACATTGCCTCGTCACCTCCATCTCCTTCATTGAATCAACTCATTCTTAAGAACTAAAACATGATATTCTGATTGGACTATAAAGGTTAGAAATTGGTAGCTTGCTCAACATCTCCTTTAACATCGTCAAAGAGTTCATCAGCTATATTTCTGCACGTCATAAGAGTTCAACAGAATGGGATGTTCACGGCTTTTTTCATAATTGGGTGCAAATGATTTTGCCAAGCCCTCCTTTTCCAGCATGCGCTTGGATTTCCTTTTGGGTGGTGTGTTACTTTGGGCAGCATTTCAGTCAGGTAAGAGGGTGTGTGTGTGTAGTTGGGGATAGAGGAGGGAGGAGGGGGGGGGGGGAGGAGGTGAGGTGTTGGGGGGGGGGAGGAGGGGGGGAGGAAGAAGAAGGGTTGATAGTGGGGGTGTGTGTGGGTGGGAGGATGGGTGAGTGTGCGTGCGTGCGTGCATATGTATGTGTAAGCATCTGCATACGTGGATGCAGGAGAGAGTGAGAGGCTAGGGATGAAGGATTAGGAGGTGCAGGAATCTTCGGGATGCAGGGGCATAAATAGGAGGATTGCACTAGCACGTACAATGAGTACACGTACAAGTGTTTAGCTGGGTGAATGGAGGGAAGAGAGTAACATGCGCGCTAGAAGGAGAGCAAGTGAGTAAGTGGAAACAAAGGTTTAGAACAAGGGCGGTTGGGAGGGAGGGGGGAGGAGGGGGGAGAGGGGAGGGAAGAGAAAGGGAAGAGAAAGGGGGTTGTAAGTAAGCAAGGGTTGCAAAGCAGAGAGAGAGGTGATCCGCACGGTAGCAATGATATGCAGATTGTGGGATTAAGGGGCTGTGTTTTGTAAACTGGGTTCCTCTTCCGCTGCTACACCTCGGTGCGAGCGGCATCATTTGCTGCTTCTGACCTGCTTCACCATTTGCTGCTTCGGCACCTTCCATCAGCCTCGGTTTGCCTCTGTCACCATGCGCCATGCTGCCTGTACGCCACCTTCTCCTCCTGCACCTCAGTTTCTCCTCCTGCACTCCAACTTCCCCGTTACTCTGGCCATCTCTTCTTTTCCTGTCGTCGCGCTAATATGCCCTGGATACCTCGTTTCCTGCCTGTCCTCCCACACCGCAATGTCTGCACTGCACACCTTCATTCATTGGTGTTCGCACTAGTGTAAGTGATCCGCAAAGTTACCTGTTTAGGAAGAATTTGAAAGGTGGGGCTGGATGGGTGAGGTGAGGTGATGGGGAGGGGGATTAAGTACTGGAAATCGCACAACGGCTGCACACTCTGCCGCACCTAACTGGCAGTGTTTGACGTGGGGATGTACACTGCAAGGAGTATGAACTGATGATAAATTAGCCTTGCTACAACTATGAGGTCTTGCTCATAGTTTGTTGTTGTCTGACATTGCGTTGTTCCTTGTGCATTGTCACTTAGTAAAATTTCTACGCTGGCGCAGCTTGAAGAGGTGATATCTCAGAGCGTGCAACAGATACAACAAGTTGCTGCGAAGAACGGCAGATTCACACAAAGAGGGCAAGGCATTTTGTAGGCATGTGCGAGCCATAAACTGGTTGTACAGACTGTTCCATTTGCCCGTAGTCATATTGTGTCCTTGAATAAGCTAGTGCACCTTCTTTGTTTACTGGTGGGAATTTTCTAAGTACCGGTATCTTCAAGGTGCACCACTTCTGTGTTGCCCTGTTGTTGCTTATAGAACGGATGTTTCTGCACCGCCTTCCCTGTCAGATTGCTCTGTTCAAACTCTCTGCTGTCAGAGAAGTTCCCGCCAAATCTGCTCCGTTCCCTTTGTCAGTGAACTACGAATTCGAACCACAGGATTTCATTTCAGCAGCCCCCGAACTCCTCTACCCTTTCCGAAGCCACGCTATCCTGATTGGCTGGTTGCCCAACTGATTCAATCACGCTGGATGCGGTTCAGTGAGCTTCCAAAACGGTCGCTAGTGAATCAATCATTTTAATCACTGGAAACCAGAAACAACCGAAACGAAACGTTGTAAATGCACTAAAAATGAATGTGCGGGACGCTTCGGATTCAACTTCTGCATTTGAACTGATGGGGTTTCAGTGCCGGAATGGTTGGGCTGGGTACTCCCATCTCGTCTCCTCAGGCACTGAATCTCCTTTCACAGGGAAGCACATCCGGAAAGGACTCGGATTCGACGAAGTTCTGTCCTGTTCCATTCACGGACTACTGCTCGCTGAGCCCTGTGCTTATCATTGTTTGCTCTAGGGATTTAGGTCATCGACTTAGGAACCACGCAGCATCGTCATGTGAAATGTTGACTAATGCACCGCCTGAACTCGATCGGCTAGACCTGTTGCTCCTAAGTTAAATCACCTGAAGGCGAGGTTATTTGGTCGTTTGTCACTACGTCAAGCTCCTCGCTTGCGTAATATTGCCGCCTGCAGCATCTGTGGATTTTCCAATCCGATCCATTCCATTACTTAAAGCGATATCGGCTTCTAACTGTTCAGACCATTATTATTGAGACATCATGGTGATAGAACGTCACAGCTCGTTAGACCCAGATCCGGGTGCCGTCGCGAGAGCGAATTCTAACGTTCAAGTGGTAGTGAGAGTAAGACCCCCGAACGAGCGGGAAAACGATTTAGGCTACCATAAATGCATCACAGTCGATCCCAGCTCAAAACTGATACATCTCTCGACGAGGCCTCCTTCGAAGCCTTTCTCTTTTGACTATATTGCGGACGAAGACACGGAGCAGGTGACAGCGGCTAACAATTACTTTCCATTCGTGATTGTCAATGATTCCTTAAGCATATGATAAGTCAGCCGAGTGACTGATTGACCCGAGTGTTCAAAATGAACTGACGTTCTTTTTGTCTGTCTGGATTTCTTTTCTTTTATTTTCTGCTTGCAGGAGGACATCTTCACGACAATCGGAAAGCCTATCACAGATGCGTGTTTGGAAGGTTACCACTGCTGCCTTCTTGCGTATGGTACGGGAACAAGATTTATGTAATTTCAGAAGCATTCGCTCGAGTTTTATATGCTGATATCACCACGCGATGCTGTCGATTCGCAGGGCAAACTGGCGCCGGCAAGACCTTTACGATGGAGGGTAAGGCGGACATTGCATATCATTTCAACACATTTGATGCTTCATTTATCTCAGAGTACGGCAAGTCTAATGTTTTGTTCTTCTTTGGCTTTCGCAGGACCGGATTGGGACAGCGAAATGGAAGGATCCCAGCGAAGCGTGGACAAACGCGGCCTCATTCCACGAATTCTGCAGTACATCTTCCAGAGACTTTCAGCTGAGAAGGTTGACCCTTTCTGCCTTATATTCTTACGGCGAAAACAAATTTGAAGCTGGTTTTTCCTTTCTTTTTTATCTACATACCACTTGACGTCATAATTGACATAACTGTTGTTGCGTCTGTGCGTGCAGGAGCTGCAGATGCTAGAGTTCACCATCCGCTGCTCCTACCTGCAGATTTACAATGAGCAAGTCTCCGACCTCCTCGAGCCAGATTCCGTGAACCTGAGTAAGTCCTTACTGCTCCTCCATGAAACTAGAGTCACGTTCAGTCAATCACGTCTGCTCACCCGTATTTGCTTGCGTTGACGTGTGATTAGGCTTAACCTTTGATTTCTTTCGTGCATCCGTCCATTTTCATGCGCTGTCATGCATCAGGCGTCATACATCAACTGTCATACATCTGCTCTCACGCATCTGCTCTCATGCATCTGTTGTCATTAGTCGGTTGTCACGCATCATCTGTCAGGCATCAGCTGTTATAGATTCGCCGGCATGCATCAGCTGGCATTCATCTGCTTTCATGCATCAGTTTCCATACATCTGCTGCCATGTATCAGCTGTCATTCATCTGCTGTCCTGCATCAGCTCTCATGTCAGATCCCATGCATCTGTTAGGATGCACCTGGTTATCATGAATCTGTTGTCGTGCGTGTGCTGTGGCAGATGTGAGGGAGGACCTGAGGCACGGCATGTTTGTTGAAGGCCTGCAGGAGGTGGTGGTTTCCACGGCCGACGCCACCTACGCGCTGTTCAAGCGCGGCTCGCAGAACCGGCGCGTGGGGCAGACGGCCATGAACATGGAGAGCAGCCGCTCTCACAGCGTGTTCACGATTGTGGTGGAGACTCAGGTGCAGTACCAATTTCGTGCTATCCATGAATATGCTAGGCATGGAATCTGCTCCTCATGTTTCCAGGAGTGAAAATCACACTCTCTTCTGCTGCTTTTCCTTCTTCCACGATGCCGCCATATTCTGTACTTCGTTATCACATCTCACAATTCGACGGCTGCTTCTTAGCTCACGCTTATCTTTCCCTCTTGCGTTTTGTTGGGCTGCAGCGGAGGGACGACGCGGGGGTGATGAAGAGGCGGACCTCACGCTTCAATCTGGTGGACCTGGCGGGGTCTGAAAGGCAGAAGCACAGTGAGGCGCAGGGGGTGAGGCTGAAAGAGGCCGGGAGCATCAACAAGTCCCTCTCTGCACTGGGAAATGTCATCAAGGTAGGAGATTTGATGTTTTGAGTGGCGGATTAACTAAGCACTGATTCAGTTGTTGAGAATGTGAACTTCGAAGTCTAACTCTGTGTTTTTCTCAACAGGCCTTGGTTGACATCGCAGAGGGGAAGGTTCGCCACGTGCCCTATCGAGACTCGAAGCTCACCTTTCTTCTAAGTGTAAGAAGCTCCTCAGCTTGACAGTGTCCATTGTATGAAATTCAGTATATTGCACACCCGTGTGATACATTCTGTTGATGGAATTCTGATTCTGTTTTAATTTGCCTTCCTTTCAGGGCTCTCTTGGTGGCAACTCCAAGTGCACCCTGTTGGCAGCTGTGAGTCCTGCAGAGCGGAACATGGAAGAGACCCTGTCTACGCTCAAGTTCGCGCAGCGAGCCAAGCTGATGCACAACGAGGCGGTAGTGAACGAGCTGATGATGGGCAACCCCGCCGTCATGGGCGAGGAGATCCGACGGCTGCGCCTCGAGATCGCCGAACTCAGAGGTGCATTATGCGAGGGAGAGAGGGAGAGAAGTGGGTGTTTGATGAATCAAACTGCATGTCTGTACCCCTGCTGAATCAATTCAACGGACCATTTGAGAGAGAGAGAGAGAAGTGGGTCTTTGATGGCTCGTTGAGAAAGCGATTTCTGGATTAACTCGTAATGGCTTATGATTTAAGGAGTCGAGTCTGAAGTTGTGAAGAGGCTGATTTCGTTTTTTTCTTGTTATGTGCATGTAGCCAATGCGACAGCAGGAGTCCCTGGGCAACCGCTGCTCCCACCCAGCCCTTCTCCTGCGCCTATGTCAGGTAGGAAGCAGAAAACCCATTTCAATTGTAGTTCCCGTCCAGAAGCCTGGGGTATTGCTTGGCGGACTGTGAATCTTTGGAATGGTCTCCTGTATCGTGCAATCATATCCCAATGTTCTCCTCTACCCCCCTGTGTGTATCTTCTCTTGCCTCTTTCCACCACTCCCACTGCAGAGAACGAGCGCATCTGCCGCCTGGAGCAGATCATATCGCAGTCCACGAAGCGGGCTCTGGAGGCGGAGAGGCAGTTGGCGCAGGAGGTGGCGAAGCAGAGCAAGAGAGCCGAGGCCGCTGAGGCCCTGGCGGAAGGGCTCGTGAGGAGCGTGCAGGTGAGAATGATTGGTGGATAGATAAAGTAGTTGTGTGGTACCGTGGCCTGGTGAAGGGACTCGTGAGAAGCGTGCATGCAGATGCGTGTCCGCCAGGCACGATTGCACTAACCGTCGATATTCTCTCGGTGCTGCGTTATGGTGTTACTGCGTGCTGTAACTTCCTGTCTGACGTTTGTGTGTCCGTGGCATGACTGGATTGATTGGCATGATTGGCGTGACTGTCTTGATTGGTGCTGTGTGGTGCTTTGCGGTGCCACAGGGGTTGAAGATGGTGGTGAAGCTGCGGGACGAGAGGATCAAGCGGGTGGAGGCGCAGGGGAGGTGCGAGGGGCAGGGCGCGCGGGGTGAGGACGTGGCAGCAGTGGAGGAGCTGTCTCAGGAGGTGGAGGTGCTGAGGCGCATGGTGGAGAGGAACCCCGACGCCATCCGCTTCCAGCTGGAAGTTGACGTCTGCAAAGGTGCGTTTTGTGAGATAAGGTGTCTGTGTGGTTTGACTCAGTTGAAGATAGTTCCGTGTATTGGAGATAGTTCACTCAACACGCTCACTCTTTCCCATAAAATTCCTCCCTCTTCCAATGCAGCGCGCATAAGCGAGCTGGAGGAGCAGCTGCAGACGGGTACAAGCGAGGCAGATAAGGTGGCCGCACTGGAGCGCCTCAACAACGCCCTGAGGGAGGAGCTCAAGGAGGCGTTCGATGAGAACGAGGCGCTGAGAAGTAAAGAGGAGGCGCTGCAGAGAGAGAAGGAGGAGCTCCGAGCCAAGCTCGTTGGCATGGAGGAGCATGTAAGTGGGGCGGAGGGTGGGGATGGCTGTGAGTGAGAAGAGGGTGGGGAGGGATGTGGGTGGAGGAGGGGGAGGCATGTGAGTGGGGGGGATGAGTGTGCATGTGCGGTTTGACTCGTTGGTCTCACGCGGATCTGTTTTCTGTGAGCTGACATCGCAAACTACTTGCTGGCATGGCATGGCGACTGTGGCCGAGCAGAACCAGCTGTTAGTGAACAACTTGTGGTTCCGCGTTGACTGCTATCTGCTTCTCCCACGCAATGATGACTGGCATGGCGTGGCATGGCACGTGAAGAGGGTGGCGGTGGTGGCGGAAGAGAATCATCAAGAAGCAAGTGAGACAAGGCAGCTTGTTAAATTTCACCTGCCTTACTAACACTTCCTTGTTGCACCCTGTGACTGGCATGGCATGGCAGGTGAAGAAGGTGGCGGCAGTGGCGGAGCAGTACCGCTTGGAGGTGAACAACACACGGCAGCTTCAGCGCAGCGTCAACGACCGCAAGCACGAGTTTGACGATGTGAGTGCTGGCTCTGTGATATGAGTCCCGGCCTTTTGATGTGAGCATTACCGCTTCCTTTTCAGCATCTGACCCTACAAACCAACTGTTCTGAAGGTACCTCCGCTTGCCTGTCTGGCAGTGATACCATTGCCGTCCTCACAGATATCCTCACCTTTTCACCTCTGCGTGCATTCCCCCCTGAGCATGCAGGCGCGTGTGCGGTGTGGAGAGGCAGAAGCGAAGGTGGGGAAGCTGCTGCAGCAGCTGGTGGCCACCCAGCAGGCGGAGTCGGTCCTCAAGGTGCAGGCTGCGGAGCACCACGCTCAGAGCGCCGCCCTCACTCGGGAGCTGCAGGCGTGCAAGGCCGAGCTGGCGAGGAGCGTGGCGGAGAGTGAGAGGAGCGCAGCTGAAGCAGCACAGCTGCGGGCGGATTTGGAAGTTCTGCGGAAGCAGGTGGAGGGGTTGGTGGAGGAGAGGGCGAAGGCTGAGGGACAGGCGGCAGAGGCAAAGGCTGCTGGGACGGAGAAGGAGAGGGCTTGGGAAGAAGAGCGGAAAGCGCTGGAGGAGGCATTGGAAGAGATGAGGAGAGCGCAGGTGGATGCGGAAGCTGCTGGCAGGGAGAAGGTGCGGGAGCTTGAACAGCAGAAGACAATGTTAGAGGAGGAGGTAGAGGGGACGAGGCGAAAGGTGATGGAGATTGAGGATGCTGGGAAGGAGAAGGAGGGGGCGTTGGCAGAGCAGAAGAGGGCGTTGCAGGAGGAGCTTGAGGGGATTAAGAGCAAGCAGCAGGAGATGGAAGATGAGGGGAAGGAGAAGATGAGGGAGCTTGACGAGCAGAAGAGGGTGTTAGAGGAGGCGCTTGAGGGCATGAAGGGCAAGCAGGTGGAGCTGGAGGAGAAGGTGCAGGCGCTAGAGAAGGAGAGAGAGCTGCTGTGGGCTGCAGCAGAGCAAGGCGCAGGGAACAACAGGGCAGCTGGTGATGCTGACGGCGCTGATGGTGCTGATGCTGCAAAGAAGCGGTCGGAGCTGGATGAGAGGATAGAGAGGCTGGAGGAGGAGCTGAGGACGGAGAGGGGGCGGGTGATTGACCTAGCAGAGAAGGTGGGCGATAGGGACGGGCTGCTGGAGGCTGCTTGCGAGAGGCAGAGGCGGGCAGAGGAGGCGGCTGAGAGGGCGAGGAGGGAGGCGGAGGAGTTCGCTGCTGGGGGGCGCAAGCTGCAGGAGGTGAACCTGGCGCTGGAGGAGCAGCTGTGCTCGACGCTGCAGGATCTGCAGGAGGCAAAGGAACGGGTGGAGCGGATGGAGCAGGAGAAAGTGGGTCTGCTGGAGGAGGCTATAATGCTGGAGAAGGAAACGGAAGCGGAGCAGAAGCAGCAAGAGGAGGAGGAGAGGGAGGAGCAGCAGGAGAGGCGTGAGGGAGGAGGTAGCGGAAGCAAGCGGAGGTGGCAGGAGACTGTGAAGGGTGATGATGAGGAAGCAGTGAAGGCAGGTGGGGAGGAGGAGAAGGAGGAAAACGTTCTCAGCCCGATGACTCTGTGTCTCACAGAGCTCCGTGACGTGACCAACAGGACAAGCCCTTCGCGAGGAGCAGACAAAGGCAGCAATGATGCACTCGCAGGAGCCGCTGGTTCTGGCCCCAGCCCAGTTCGCCTCGGCACAGCAGCAGACATGCCCGCGCTACCTGCCTCCGCTTCTGCCGATGCGTTCCTCGCAAACAGGTGGACTCTTCCCTTTGCTGGAGACAACGTTTCTGCCAGTGCAGATATGGACAGCGACCTGCTCAGATATGCAATCACGGGGGCGGCGGGAGGTCATGCAGGGGGCGAAGGAGGAACGCAGGGCGCGCTGGGGCGACGGATGGAGAAGAAGAAGCGGCGGAGGAGCGCGCCAGTGAGCCAAGCAGAAGCGCAGGCGGAGAAGCTGAGGCTGATGGAGGTGCAGGTGCGGCACATGGTGAAGCAGCTCGCTGCTGCGCACGCCCAGGTGAAGAGCCTGTCCGGTAGGATGCAAAAAGCGGGTCCGCTTATGGTGAGGATGCGGGAAGTGGTTCAGCAGCTGCGGGCGAAAGGGCAGGCGCTGGAGCTGGCACTGCTGCATACGCTGGAAAGGGAGGCGGAGAGGGAGCAGGCGGAGGAGGATGAGAAGGAGGAGGTTGGGCTGATGTACCTGGAGCTGGAGGCGCAGAGGGATAGGTTGAGGGAAGAGAGGTATAGGTTGAGGAAGGAGAGGGATGAGTTAATAGAGGAGCTGATGGTGGTGGGGCCGAGGAACGCGGTTCTTTGTGAGGAGTTGAGTGCGGTGAAGGCGAAGCTGGAAGCGGCCAGGTGGGAGATGGGTGGGATGGAAGAGGAGCGGGCTAGGCTGCGGAGCAAGTTGGCTAGGCTGAGTCGTAGGCTGGAGCAGCTGGTAACGGGGAGAACGGCAGTGGGTGGACCCCTTGAAAGTCAAATTAGGGTAGAGCATGCAGTTGACGTGGAGGTTGCTGCTGACGTGGAGTATGCGGATGAGGAGGAGCTCATGGCTGACGTGGATGAAGCGCTGGCTGTTGTGAGGGAGCATGTGGCGGAGGTGGAGAGCAGGAACAGGCAGCTGGCCGAGCAGGTGAGGACGCTGGAGCAGCAGTGCGAGAGGCTGCAGGCTAAGGCTGAGGGGGTGGGCAGCAGCAAGACGAGGGCGGTGAGGGCTGTGAATAAGAGCGAAAACGAGGAGCTGCAGGGCGGTGGGTTGGGCGTGAAGGCTGAGGGTGGGCCACAGCAGGTAGATGGAGAGCAGGAGCGTGAGAAGAAGGGCGATGGGCACAAGGGGGAAGAGCAGCAGGGGCTGGAGCAGAACCGGCTCGTTGGGCAAGTGCAGGAGCTGTTGGCGCGTCTGGCTGCTGCAGAGGAGCAGACAAAGAGCACCATGGGCCGGGCTGCTCTGGCCGAGCAACGGTGCAGCGAGATGCACGCCCGCGTTGCTGCAGTGGTGGCTCGGGAGAGAGCACTGCAGAAGCTGCTGGTGAGCCCGCTGCTAAGAGACGCAGGAGTTGGGGGCAGAGGGATGATGGGATTAGAAGGTGGGGACGAGATCGTGGAGGGTTGGAAGGCGAGGTGGCGGCAGCTGGAGCAGGAGCAGGGGGAGCTGGACTTACACCTGACGCAGAACAAGGTAGAGGACCAGGAAGGCGAGGGGGAACAGGGGCATGCGGATCAGGGATGTGGGCAGGGAGGGGTGGAATGCGGTGGAGAGGCTGGTGCGGTGGGTGGAGATGTGGGGCCGGAGCAGAGGCGCATGCAGGTGGAGGAGGTGCGCGGGGTGGTGGCTCAGGTGGTGCTGCTGGAGAGCCTACTGGCCCTGGTGCTGTGCCGGGCTGGGCTCAACGGCCTCTTCTCCCGCATGGGACCCAGGATGGGAGCAGGAGGGATGGTGGAGGGAGGAGAGATGGTGGGGACAGGAGGGGTAGAAGGGGAAGGTGGTTCGCTGGGCGAGGGAGCCTCAGGTGCTGGTGCATGTGAGGGAGAGGTTGAGCCTAAGGGGGTGGATGGGATGGGGAAGGCAGAAGTGAGCGGGTCCGGGAAGGAGGAGGGGACAGGGCAAGAAAGGGAAGGAGAGGAAGGAGGGGGAGAAAAGCAAGGAGGGGGAACAGAACAAGTGGAGGAGGTGCTGAACGCGCTGCAGAAGCAGAGGGTGCTGCTGCTGGGGTTCTTGGGCGTGAAGGCTGAGGAAAGCAGCAAGCTAGGGCAGAATGACCAAGAGAGAGAGTCGAGGAATCTGGCAAGCGAGGAGGCAGAACGAGCTATAGCGAGTCCCAGTGAGGGGCCAACCCTCCCCGCTCCGGCCTTGGTATCCAGGCAAGTCAGAATCACACAGCAGCTGGTGCGAGCAGGATTCGATGCCCTCATGGCAAACGATGACACCTGCTGGCTGCGAGGGTCCGTTCTGAGAGGCGTGTACGCCCTGAGGAAGCTGGTGGAGGAGGTGGAGGGCAAGGTGGGCGCGTGGGAGGCGCAGTGGGGTGAGCTGGAGCGGGCCTTCCAGCAGCAGAACCGGGAGTTCCTGGAGGTGGGGCGGGCGCTGCAGCGCGTGCAGGGGGAGAAGCGGGCAGTGGAGGGAGCAGTGAGGGAGAGGGCGGAGGAGGAGGTGGGGAGGCAGCAGGTGGTTGAGAGGACGGTGCGTGTGGCAGCTGAGGCAGTGGAGGTGGAGAAAGAGATCGAGGAGAAGCGGCAGCAGGTGGCAGTGGCTACAGTGGGCGATGCTGCAGCGTGCTCTGGGCAAGGAAGCGAGCTGAGCAGCCGTTTGGAGAAGGAGGTGGAATGGCTGCAGCAGGTGAAGGACGCAAAGGAGAGGGAGGTGGTGTTGCTGATGAAGCGCGTGACGGGGATGGAGCTGCAGGGCAGAACGCAGTGGGAGCAGGCAGTGCAGCGGCAGGAGGCTGCTGTGAAGCAGGTGGAGGGGCTGACGCAGCAGCTGAGGGAGGCGCAGCAGCAGTTGGGCGGGAAGAGTGCTGAGGTGGAGAGGCTGGTGTGGCGGGTGGAGCAACTGGAAGAGGAGGTCAAGGCCAAGGTGAGGCGTCTTGGTGGCTTGTAGCTCGTTCAAGGCATGGCTACTTCTGCATGTGGCTGGTCAGGAGTATTGCCTTCTGAATGTCTTTTTCCAAACCACCCGTTCAGCCAGCCCCGTGCAACCCGGCACAGCACAGCACAGCACAGCACAGTACAACCGCGCAGCACAGTGCAGCACAGCAGACAACTGATGGAGTAAACCTGCTCATTGTGTATCTCACTTATCCATTCCTCTCATCCCTCCCCCCTTATCCAGGATGCACAGATCACCTCTTTGCACATGCAGCTCGCAGCAGCAGCTAAGGCAGTGGCTCTCGACTCCCCTCTCAGACACCATCAGCCAGCAGCAGCAGCAGCAGCAGCAGACAGAGGCGACGCCCCTGCAATCGAGCCCAGGCAGCAGCGGCCCTCGGATTCAGCTCAAGGGTCACGGCGGGTGCGGCAGCGGCTGGGCGGCGTGCTATCCGCCATCCACGGCATGGGGGGCATCCGGGACAGCACCCGCAGTCCGTTTGGATTCAGGGGTGTGGGGGCCAGCAATGAGGGTGCAGCTGCAGCAGCTACTGCTGGTGGTGCTGCTGCTCTGTATGCCTCCACGTCAGCTGGGTGTAGTGGGCGAGGCACTGCTGCGTCAGTGAGCTGTGGGACCGGAGGAGGGGAGGGCGAGGAGTTTTACACGCCCATGACCAATCTGCCCTTCAGCCCAGAGAGTGGGGGATACAGTGGAGGTGGTGTGGAGGCGAGTGGAGGGGGGCTGGACGGTGGTGCTGGTGGGAGCGTGAAGGGGAGTAGAGGGAAGGGGTCTGGATGGTGTGTGGGGCATGGAGGGGTTGCTGGTGGAAGTGCGAAGAAGCGAGGCTGGGGGAGTGGCGTGGGCAAGTGTGTTGGGAGTGATGAGAACGCGCCCTTGATTCCTGGTGGCCCACAATCAGGTACACTTCAGTCCATCCCCTTCCCCTCCCATCCAGCCCGCCTCCTTCCTCTCTTGCCTTGGCACATGTCAGAACTTCCTGGTTGTTTGTCTCCCATATATGGCGTCTCAAACTAGTGTATCAGACTGCGCCCGCGTGCTTTCATTCTCAGGTGATGGGGTCATGGCCTTGGCACCCCTGCACACTCCACCTGTTGCTGCAAGTGCAAGCAAGGTGACTGTCAGGACCACCTTTGAAGCACCGGCACCATTCTCTCAGCCCTCCGGAAAATGGCAGCAAGACAGGTATGGTGCCTTATCTTTCTTCCCCCTGTTCTAACACCCACCTCTCATTTATAGTTCCTCCTCCCTCTTCCATTGATTGTCATCGTTTCAACGACGCATGCACAACCGTGTACATACGTAGAATGCACAATAGGAGGAAGAAAAGTCTGAATGCCGTTTTGTGTAATGTGCCATGCCTTTTATGATTCCCTTCCTGGCAGGCCACTTTCTGGTGAGGGAACACCAAGGAGCAACCGTCGTGGTCCAGTCCTTCGATAGCTACGTTAATGCTCCTCCACTTCATCATCTTGCTATTCATTCGTGCATTAGGTGTCTAAAAATGGCAAAATATGATCCTACAGTCATGTCTAGATGGTCATGTTGTAGCTGCTCGCGAATGTATGGTAAGGTATAGGACAAGTTTTAGGGCACTTGTTTTTCTGGCAAGTGTTATTATTGTTAAGAGTGATGACATGTTGGAGCTCTGTTATTGATTACACAAGTGGTGGGGCACCTGGCACTATCTAGGCATGTCGCAGATGTTCGTGAGTTACCATAACCAGCCCTGACTGCGGATTTTGCCTGTCGCACCGATGTTCGCGCAGTTACCATATATGTTCGCGCAGTTACCATATAAGTTCGCGCACCTAAGTGGTCCTGATGCGCTGGTCCATTTTGACCATAGTTGAGACCATGGTCAGACTTCGGCACATAGAAGGAAGCCATGCCAGCTGGCTGTTCTACAGCTGAGACGCATACATGCGTTCTGCAGCGTTATTTGGCACGCACTCTCGCGTTTCAGCCACTCTCGCTCGTATCGTCTCGCTGTCGAACAAACCGAGACATTCAGGCCTCGTGCCCTTTGTTGGAGGTTGAGTGTGGGGGGAGGTTTGCCCCCAACCACCGAATGAAGCTCACATGTTGCGTGAGCTGCAGGTTTCGAAGTGAGTGGGTTGACTTCGGAAGACCCATCGATTCGGTGCCACATGGCAGCACCAGGAACATTCGAGACCCAAGGAGAATTCGGATCGGTGAAATTCGAGGGTCGAATTTCACCCCTTCGAAATGTTACTCGAACATTCGCGAGTGTACCGCGGTTCGAGGTTACATGTGCGACTCGATGTTTGCAGTTCATATAAAATTGTGTTGCTTTGTATTGCATGGATCATACTGAAATTGAGAATCACTTTGTAAGTGATACATTCGACTACAAAATCCAGAGAGCTCCTATCCTTTGTTCTAAGAGCACTAGCAAGCACATAAAAGCCTACAACTCCCTCGTTACTTGGGCGAATCGTGTGTTTGACGGCTCGTTGGAAAGCCAGCAGAGTGCTCTATCATTTAGTGCAGATCCCAGTTCCTGCAAGGTAGAGGAGAGTCCTTTACATCAGTGGTATCAGAGCTGGTCGGAGGAGTCTACGCGCGCGACGAGAAGCGAGCATGCCGACTTCAAGCGAGGCCTCCCGCACTTCCTTGGATGGTGTCGTTGTAAATTCCGGCGAACCCTGGGCAGCCGCGACGATGTACGACACGTCGGCGGTACCGATTTTCACGGGACAAAACTACTCCGCGTGGAAGTTTAAGTTCCAAGTGCTCATGATGGAGCGGGGACTTTGGGGTCTCTTCGATGGGACGGAGAAGAAGCCGGACGACGAGAGCGACATCGCGGCTTGGAAGAAGAAGGACCAAAAGGCGTTCGCTACGCTAATCTCGCGGATCGGCATCAACCTCGTGAGCTCGGTGCGCACGTGCATCAAGCTCGAAGCGTCGGCGCATGAGGCGTGGAAGCGGCTCGAGACGATTCACGTAAACAAGACGCTCCATGGCAAGATCCTAGCCCGAAATGCGTTCTACACGGTGAAGTTGCGCGCGGGCGAATCGATGCACGAGTATGCGACTCGTGTGGAGGAACTTGGGGAAACGTTCGTAGACCTCGGTGGAACGGTCACGGAGGAGGATTGGATTTTGACCTTGCTTTGCGGTCTTCCGGAAGAGTGGTCGACGGTGATAACGACACTCGATAGCGTGCAAGACACTTGGACAAAGGAAACGGTGGTCGGTCGGCTTCTCCATGAGGAATCGCGTCGCCGACAATTCGCTAATGAGAGCGTGGAGACCGCCATGTTCTCCGGAGGGAGTTCCGGAGGAAAGTCCAAGTGGAGCAAGGGTGCGACGAAGAAGTCGTACGGTGGAAGCGATCGCGGCAAGGGGAACACATCAAACGGCGCGAGCAAGTGCCACTATTGCGGCAAAGCGGGACACTTTTGGCGAGAGTGTCGGAAGCGTCTGAGCGATTGGACTCCATCAAAGGCGCGGAACCAAGAGGGCAACGCGCACACGGCATCCGGCGAGGCGGATGATACAAGGGAGTCGATCGTGTTATTGGCCGGTGACGGGACCAACACTCCAAACGACGCGTGGTTCCTTGACACCGGCGCAACACAACACATGACGCACTCGGCATCATTCCTCACCAACGTTGGTGCACCGGTAGACGTCACGCGCGTCGTCTTCGGAAACGGCAAGTCGCTACCGGTGGTCGGAGTTGGGAGTACGCGTCTCATCGTCGATGGCGGACCGGTGGACATCACGAACGTGCTTCACGTCCCGGGATTGAAGGTGAATCTACTCTCCGTCACTCAACTCGCGAAGAAGGACGTGAAGGTCACCATCGATGGCGCGACGATGAACCTCTTTTGGAAGGGGAAGCAATTCGCACAAGGCGTTCTCAACGGAGAACTTTACCAACTCAAGACGCACCCGGGAGTGGCTTCATCCAACGTGGCGCAAGGTTCCAAGGCGACTCTCAAGGCGTGGCATAATCGACTTGCGCACGCCAACTACGACTCGGTCAAGGAGTTGGTCAACAAAGGACTCGCCAAGGGAGTCGACGTGATCGCCGGCGACGACGAGAAGGGCGTGTGCATGGCGTGTGTCGAAGGAAAAATGGCTCGCAAGCCATTTGGTAGCCGAACGTCACCCCTCGCTAAGGACCCGCTTGCGCTTGTTCACATGGACGTGTGTGGACCGATGCGGCATGCATCAAAGGGAGGAGCGCGGTTCCTCTTGGTGATGCTCGACGACGCGACGCGGATGTGTTGGACCCGACTCTTGAAGGCTAAGGGAGATGCGGCCAAGGCGATTCAAGAGTGGGCGCTCGAAGTTTGCGACGACGACAAGAAGCGGATCAAGTGTATTCGCACCGATGGTGGTGGCGAATTCGTGAACGCGGAGCTTGAGAAATGGATGAAGAGCAAGGGCATTAAGCACGACGTTACGACACCCTACACACCCCAACAAAATGGAGCGGCGGAGCGGCTTAATCGCACGTTGGTGGAAGCCGTTCGTTCACTACTTCAACACTCCAAGCTTGGGCACGAGTGGTGGGGAGAGGCGAGTGCGCTAGCGGCGTGGATTCGCAACCGTTTGCCGACAAAGGTGCTCCCGGGAACGACTCCGTTCGAAGCATGGACCGGAACGAAGCCGAACCTATCCCGCCTACGCACCTTTGGATGCCTTTGCTACTACCATGTCCCGGATCCTCTTCGCCACAAGTTGCAACCGAAGGCTCGTGCGGCAATCTACTTGGGAGTTGCGGCAAACGAGCGTGCGTGGCGAGTGTGGGACTTGGCGGAAAGGCGCGTCGTCACATCTCGAGACGTGGTCTTCGACGAAGACAAGTTTCCGACGAAGGAACAACCAACGCCGCAACTCACCGTCGTACTTCCCGCACGAGAGGAGGATGAGGTGGTGGAGGTTCCATCACAAGCGGAAAAGGAAGCCGAGAATGGAGAGGGAGAGAACGAGGAGAGCGATGACGATGTCGTGGA